TGTTTTATCAGAACTAAAGACCACTCGAACTGCGCGGTTGTGACACTCTAGTCTGAGGATAACATTCATGATCTCCAAAGCAAAATGTCTCATACTGTAGCTTTTTGTAGAGGCAGCTAAGATGGAATTAAAAGGGATTCTGAGACGACAAGCCTCGAAATAACTCAATACAGAAAAGTCGCCTCAGACTAGAAAGAAAGTCCAAACCTACTTGGATTTCACCATAATCTTGTTTCATTCTTTCTTTCTTTTCATTAACAATTATAGATGCCTTCCCTTGCCTCATCCTGTTCGGGGCCAAGGGAAGTTCTCGCTGCCGGTGCGAGACCACCCGTGCGAGATTCGAATCTCGCTCCCGTCGACAAGATTCGCATGGGGTACGGTGGAAAACGATTGCGACGGGGCGTCGCGGCGTTGTTCATAACATAATTATCGATCGGTGCTCAGTCGTTGGTGTGCGTCGGAGTCATTCGTTCATGGCTGAGATGGTTTTCTGCAAGGTTATTTTGGAGTTCTTCTTTCTTCATCGGTATCTTGACTTCCTCAGAAGGATTAGGGAGAGTCGATTGACGCGTGGATGCGTTTCGACTTGGATTTGAGCCAGATGTGACCATTTTTGTTATTTGGAAATATTTGCTTGTACAGGAATGTCTGCCCTTTCCAGCTGCTAGGTGAAGTTTCCCGAACGTTTTTTTTTCTCGATTGTGGGAGTGTCGGATTCCATTACGAACCGGGCTTTTCGAAATTCTAAATTGTCAGCATTTATCCAACGACCTTACTGATTCACATGTGCTTTCGTCAGCCTCCAATATCTAGAATTAACTTTCGTTCCAGTGGTTGAAAATCTGTGAATTAGTGTGCGGCCTGGAATTGTCAAACATCGACACTTGCGTTCGTAAGTTATGGTTCACTTGTAGATCGAGATGCATTTTTCGCTGTGTTTCACCAATTTTTTAACTTTCCCAGCTAAAGTGGCTCAGGATTCTGTAAGTATATTCGTAATCCACTTCTTTTCGCCAAGCTTTTTCCCTGGTGCAGGAGCAAGCACCCCCTTTCAGGATGCAGTAAAATCAAACCATGGATCAAAAAATATCAAGACCGTGGGTTGATAAAAAATATTGATGTTAACGAAAAAAAAATGCTAGCTTAGGACACATGTTT